CTGTGAAATGTTTATTTCTTTAAATAAAGCTGGGACTGGGGGGCGGGGGGGATGGAGAGGGTTTTTTTTCTTTTTAAACTTCATGGATTTTTCTACAAGAAAAAAAAGTGCAAAAAGATCCAAACCTGAAGAAAAGTATTGCTAGATTCAGAAGGCTTGTCTTGCTGTTTTGCTGATGTGGTTTTTGGTTTTGACGTTTACCACCCTGTCTTCTCCCAAACTCCAATTTTTTTTTTTTTTTTTTTTAGGGTCTTCCCGTTTCTTCCCGATTTTGGTGCGAATGCAGATGTAGCTCACAGCACAGCCCCACGAACAGCTGTGAGCACGGGACAGTACAGCAGGGACCTCAGCCCGCCACTGCCACCCTGTGCGATGCAGGAGACAAACGCAAATCACAAGACTTCGCTTGACCAAGACGATCAAAATCTTCCCCATCACTCCAGAGCAGACTCCTCCTCTCCAACTCCTCTCCTCCAGGTGCGTGTTTCTGCAGCAAACGAAGGCAGAGTCTTGCCTCGCTTACGAGCTCACGGCCAGACCAGTCTCAGCAGGGGGCTGGAGGAGTGGATAAGTGGAAGAAAATACAAGAAGGGGGTTAGACCCAAATCTCGAGCTCAGTCCCAGGCCGGGAAGCTGCTGAGCTCAGCTGGCATAGCGGAGCTCTCCGTGGGATGTGAGGATGAGGGCAGGGCAGTTGCGGCATGGTTAAACACAGCCAAAGAGAAACAACAGGAGCTTTTTGGGCAGAAATCCAGGCAGTGCTGACAGCTCTAGGCAGGCCCTGAATTGGTCATTCCTGTGTTCCCAGCTTGCTGAAAACTTCCTGGACAGTTTGGGTTTCCATGGGTATGTGAGTGAGCATCCCAGGCAGGCTCGTCAGCCAGCTTCCGTCTCCATCATCTGCCACAGTACATCGGAGACTTGCGTGTTGTGTCCTGGGTCTACCTGGCTGCGCTGCAGCTCCTGTAGATCTCTCCTCTCTGGCCATGAGAGCACCAATAAATCTTCCCTGGCGGCATGTCCTGGCCAAGAAGGCAACAATAAATTTCCTGTAAGCGGTAAGAGAAGGTAAGAGAAGGAACAAGAAACAGGATATTCACACCTGCCATTACACCCGCTTGCATGGAAAAAGAGAGCCTGGCACACGGCTCTGGCAGCAGGTTCTGTCTCCATTTGCCACCTGGCCCCTTGCTCCCACCGCAGGGGCTGCCCTGCTCAGCCCCTCTGCGGGCGGCTGCCCCCCGGTGCCGCCCAGGCGCTGCTGTGCTGCAGGACCCCGCTCCCCCAACACCTCCTCAGCCCCAGCCAGCATCTCCCGCCACCACTGCCTCCATCCGCTGGGACCCTCACAGAGGAGATCCCCAGGAGCTGCGAGCACGGTTCCCATGCTGCTCCCTGCCACTTTCAATTCCCCAAAGTACCTTTTTTCAGAGAGACAGTCTCCCTCCACACCACGTGCTCACCTTCTCTTTGTCCCCAAGCTGTTTTACCCCCTCTCACCCTCCTTGGCTGTACGAATGGCAGCCTTCGAGGGCCATCCGCCAGCTCCTCTGTGCCTCTGGAGCCCAGCCCCAGGGATCTGGCCTTGCTTGAGGTTTCTGTGCTGCCCTGTTGCACAGGACGATCCCAGCAAAGCTGCAAGCCTTCTGCTGCAGGGGAAGGGGGAACGCCGTCACTGAAAAGCATGTTCAGGTGAGCACCGCTGTCTTGCGTGAGCTCTGACGCCTGGATGAGAAGATGCTCTGTTGGCTCCTGGGGCTCCCCAGTCACGGGATCCTGGCTGCAAAGACTGTCCCCTCCCTTGCTGCAGAGGTGGGGGTCAGGATGCGTTAGGGCACAAGCAGCTTTCCAGGGTCCCTGAGACTGCAGCGCTGACTGGCCACCCACTGTCACAAGCTTTTGGGGGCTCCATCCCCAAAGCCAGCTTTGCTTCTCCTGCAGGCTGGACGATACCTGTAAAAAGAAAACCAAAAGCAACCAAAAGCATGTGCACACGGACGTGTATTCCGTTGCAGTTTCACTTTTCTCAGCTCAGCTCAGCTGGGTCCCCAGGGGACACATGGTGGGAAGCCAGGGGAGACACAGACAGCCACGTCCCTTTCTCAGCCTCAGCGCCAGGGTGACAGAGGGCAGGAAAGGACGTGGCTGTTGGAGGACAGAGAGCAAGAGTACACGTGTCTGTGGGTGGGGGGTCCCAGCAGGAGCCCCCCAGGGATCTGTGCTGAGATCTGGGCAGCTTCACACATGTGACCTGGAAGAGTCAGACCTGGAAGGGAGCTGGAGAAGCTACTCAAAGCAATTTGAGCAGCACAGTCTAGAAGAAAACAGCTTCTTTTCAAAGAATATCTGAGTATCTGAGATCCTCCAGCCTGGGAAAGAGATGGCCGAGGTCTAAAGCCATCAGCGGGCTGGGGAGGAGGAAAGGGCTGGACGTTCACGTCTCTCCCAGCGCAAGAACAGTGGCACCCCAAAGAACGCTAGCCTGCGACAGCTTCCAAACAGGCAAAATGACTTCTCCATCCAATGTGTAACTGGGGCCCCAGTGCCACAGGATACTGCGGGTGCTGACAGGTTACAGGGGATCAAAAGATGACTGCATGCAGCACAGGCTGCTCCCCTGATGTTTGTTAAATGGATAAACACTCTCTCTTAGGCAGGAAGTTCTGGTGCCACAAAGGAAGAAAGAGCCTTAATGGATAAGGGGCGTGCAGCACTCGGAGCAGCCCCACGGCCCAGGGATGGAGGGATGATCCATGCCGCTGTCGGGATTTTAAACTCCTCATTGCTGAGGGGTCACAGCCTGGGGTCAGGGCAAGGCAAAGACACATCCCTGGAAATGTGTCCCATCTCCATGTGGACTTTGTGAGCAAAGATCGGGACCATGCATGACCTGGAGATGGAGGCAATTGCCAAATCCTTTGTCCAGGACGGCTCCCTGACTGTCGCCTCTTTTGTCCTGCAACGAAACCACTTTGCTGAACGAGAAACAACACATGCTTGGGAGCTGGAGGAAGCAGCTCGCCTGCTTCTGCAAGATTTTACCAGGACACGGGTGGCTCCTCAGTGCATCGGAGAGGGTGATCCGGTTCACACAGCCCAGTGCAACACAGCATACTGCAGAGCACTGTATTTTGCCGGGGTGGGCAGGAAAACCAGCTCTGCTGGTGTGCAGGACCTCTGCGGTGCACTGCTGGTGCAACTGCAGCGCCGAGAACACCAGCGGCACAGCCAAGGGACCAACGCTGCTTTTAACACCAGCCCGGCATCCGAGCCCCGTCCCCACAGGCACCCCAGTGTAAAGCTGTCACTGGGCAGCCTGCCTGTGGGGGA